TATATATATATATATATATATAAAATGTATTTTATTTCGGCTAGTTGCCAAGAAAATGTCCCATTTTCATCAACTTCGCCTTGATGTACTGAAAAAATATATACGAAAAAAAGAAATAATAAACTATATAAACATTTTTAAATGATACTAAAACAATACTAAAATGATATAAATGATGCTCAAAGACAGATATTACAAAATATATTTTATTATAGTAATGAGAAGAATACAACAATGAAATAAAGACGTATTATGTATTTGTATTTAAATGTATTATGTATTTAACAGTTAAGTGTGAGTGTGTGTGTGTATTTTTTCAATTTTATTAAAAACCATTCCTATAATATTATAATAACATATAATAATATTAAAATATAAACAGAAACTTTCTAAAATAAATATCAAATATTTTTTTTGATTTGGGGTGAAATGTAACTACACAATTATATATTGCATGCGAAGAGTGGACATTTTTTTTTAATTAGAAAAAAAAATAAAAATCACTGTGCACTAAATATGTCTGAATATTTGTCCTACCTGGATGGCCAAATACAGCACTCCAAGATAAGATGCGATACAGAAGGCTAGCAGCAGGTCGAAGATCGCTGGTTTTACTCTGGATCGTTACAAATACAACATAATTATTCAAGCAACCCTGGGTTAATCATACTTGTAGAAGTTAAATAGGGGTCAATTATTAACATCATTAACCTCATAAATATGACAATTTTGGATTTACAAATGTACTGCGTGCAACCTTTAAACCTGGGCTAAATTCATTCCTAACCTGGGTTTAATCATGAAATACAAAATATCTCATAATGTTTAAAATAATCCAGGATTAACAAAGCAAACCTTAACAGTTGGAAAAGTATGCTAGAGATTTAAATTGCAGGCTCTAATTTAAAGGAACACGCCACTATTTTTGAAAATAGGCTCATTTTCCAACCACCCTAAAGTTAATCAGTTGAGTTTTACAGTTTTCGAATCCATTCAGCTGATCTCCGGGTCTGGCGGTAGCACTTTTAGCTGTAGCTTAGCATAGATCATTGAATCTGATTAGACCGTTAGCATCTCGCTCAAAAATGACCAAAGAGTTTCTATATTTTTCCTATTTAAAACTTGACTCTTCTGTAGTTACATTGTGTACTAAGACTATGAACTATGAAAAGTTGCGATTTTCGCAATGATATTACGCAGCGCCTGAAAATATATGCCTGCTGCACTCATGGTACGGCAGCAAAGTTCCTTGATTATTACGCTTGATTATATATGAGAGTATAGTTCCTAGCCATATCGGCCTAGAAAATCACAACTTTT